CTGACATACAGCATTGTTTGTTTTTGGCCTGGCTATGTAAAACTTTAATATACATGTAAACTATAATACAAATGCAAAAGGAAGAAAATTAATTTGTAACACGGAGTTTCAAGCATCATCATCATCATCATCATCATCATGATCGTTATAACTATATCACTGATCTTATCAAGCCTTATACACCTGGTAGACTTCTTAGATCCTCTAATCAATAATAGTTATTGTTACTTCCTACAGCAAAATTTAATCTTAAGACTTATGGTGGCCTGTCTTCTACTATTGCTGCATCCTCTGTTTGGAATGCACTTCCATTCGAGCTTAGATCTTGCAATTCTCTTTCTTCTTTTAAATCTAAGCTTAAGACTTGGATTTTTAAAGTTTCTTATGATGTTGTCTTAAAAAATGATGATGTTTTATAGGACGATGATGTAGTTTTATAGGATTTTAATTTAGTTTTTGTAAGGGGTGTCTCCTTATGTTATTTAATTTTTATTGTGTAAAGCACCTTTGGACCATTGGGAATTAGTGCTTTATAAATATTGTATTATTATTATTATAATTATTGTTATTATTATTATTTTTATTATTATTATTATGATCGCTTAGTGCGTGAAACTCCCAAGATGCAAATTAATTTTCATCCTTTGCATTTGTATTGCACTCTGCATCAGGGCTGTGCTCTAGCAGAGCCCAGTGGCCCCTGGAGGCCAACTTTTGCTCCTGGGCGACTAGAAAATCTCAGATTTTTCATACAAATCACATACTAGGTACCCTAGATTTTACAGGTTCAGAGCACTGGGCACCCTTGAATTTTCCTTAGAGCACAGACTTGTGCATATTTTTGTGAGTTGAGCACTCCTAGGATAAGTGAAACTATATCGCTATATATTTTTTGGTTATTTTATAAACTACAATATAAATTGATACCGTCACCAATCTCCTGTTAGAAAACACCTATCTGTTACAGAAGTACAATCTTTGCTCCAAACATAACAACTCTGTTACATGAGTTCATCAAGTCTCTACAAAACCCACAGCTGGGCAATTTTCCTTTTCCCTCTGTTAAAAATGTTTATATCATGTCAGCCTTTTTCTTCATACAGGGATCCATATTCATTTTTTATCAGTGTCGTCAGCTGGGCAAGCAAGCTTGATGGCATACAGTACTTGCCCGGTTACAGTTTGGGTTGCTGGGACAAAAGTGCAGAATTATAAAAAGATTGGTGATAGAAATAATAATATTGCATGCAACTTGAACATTTTATGAGTTGCATTTTATTTCCATTATAGTTACTAAGAAAGGGTTTTTACTAAACTACAAAGTACAAAATATAGATCACAGGCATAAGGCTAAATCCAGTTTCTTTATGTTTTACAAGTATTTTTTATACTTGTCGGTCTGTCAGTTTGCCATGAAAGCAAGAAGGTTACATTTTTCCTCATATATGTTTTGTTTTGTTTTGTTTTTTTTCCACTGGAGGTGGCAAAACGCCTTCGAAAAAATGCCACACCATGATGAGTACTGTCATGTTTTCTGCGAATTTCACAGTTCAATTTCATTGCAGAAAAAAAGTTGTGTGTTATTCTCTGTTTTTTGAAAAATTTTAATCAATGAAAAGTAGTCAGAACACTGGTATATGACATGATTTAATCATACCAAGTTGTCGTATATGAATTTTGGAAAAGATTTTGTGGTTGACCAAAACCTCACTCGTCCAAAGGACGACTTTTCGAGTTATCTTAATTGTCCGTGCAGGGGTTGAAATTGAAAAAATCCTCATGTCACATTTTGGCAAACAACTGCAGAAAATTACTATAGTCGCCAGATGCAAATTTTTAGTCACCAGTTTGTATAATGTAAATGATGCAGCTCATAGTATGGCGCTATCCATCAAATTTGAAGTTTGAAAATATAGCAGACAAAAGTTGGTATAATTTTGGAAGTTAACTGGCTGTGTTTATGCGATTCGGCACATGAAATGTTTGTTTTAACTTTACTCTTTTTAAATCTAAATCATTGAGAAATCTGAAGCCAGAATTTTTAGTTGCCAAGGAGAAAATGGTAGTAGTATTGGCGACCGTATCAGTTGCAATTTCGAGCCCTGGGTCCGTGCGAGACTTTAGTCGTCTGAGACGACCGGACGACTGTGAACATTAGACATGTACTTCTTGTCACTCTGATATCCTCGAATAACCGAACCAAGGTTGAAATAGGACTCATATTAATGGCTACGAAATGTATCCGCAACATGGCAGATGCTGTTTAATAGTATGTGTATTGTAACTCAGTCATCCTGTTTCCATTCTCTAATAGTGCGAGAATGCAAGAATACATGGTGAACTTTGTCCTCTCTAAAAAGTATATATAATGTACCATTGCTTAAGGATTTTTTCCCACAAACAGTTTGTGCTTTCCATCGTAGGCCACATTTTGCATTTCAGATCAGGTGAGTATTTGGTTCAATTTCCTTTTTTAAAGCAAGAGATTCACTTGCAATGCTGTGCATGTGTCTAGTGGAACGTATTATCATACATGTACGTTGGTATTAGTCAAGCCCTGCCCTTCATGATGTGGTGTCCATTTTTAGGCAGTTAACTGTTACTATTGTGCTGTATGTGTAGGCACATAACTCAATGCAACGATGTAGCTGTCAGTAGATATGTAGTTATTGGAATTTACAGTATAGATCCCCTAACCAAAGCTTAACCTTATGTTCCTCTCTTGACTGTTTTTCAAATGGGGAGTATACTGTGGCTACAGTGTATATAAAGATTTTAAAAATATATTGTTAGAGTCAACAGCATGACAGGAGTATAGCTTTAAAGTGTTGAAGGCAATTCTCTGTTGCCTGCAAGTGTTTTCTTGGTGGGTCTTGGAGATCTGGAAAGTTATGAAATATATTTATGATACTATCCAATGCTAGAAGCTACATCTATAGATGTGTACATGCAAATGTGGAGTGATCTTGGCATGAAGTTCATGAAAATGTATCAAATTAATAATTCATCAAATTATTTTACTGAAAAATTTAGAATCAAATCGTAAATGTACATTAGCTGGAAGCATTCTGTTCTTTGCTAAGTACTTTTGTTGAAAAATCTAACGTCTTTGAAAGGTCCTGGAAAGTTTGTAGCCTTTTAGTGAGGGGAACGTTGATGAGATGAATGGACATTGAGGCACATACTAAAAGAAGAAATTTAAGTTTAGTCAGAATTACATCCTTACATCTAGTCCTACTAAAGTGTAAGTAAATAGTCTTTACTCAATCCTTTGAACTTGTTTTTCATTAGAACTTTGAAACTCAAGAATTGAATATCCAGAAACAAGGATACTCAAAAAGATTTTGTCTCCAAGGAAGAACAAAATTATTATTTTATAGTTTTTTGCATGCATTTCAAGGAGCTAATTAAATAGAACTTTTACATGTGTAATTAATAAGTCTCGATATTGTTCTCACTTTTAAAAGTTTTATGATATTGGCCCCTGATGTGCATGTAAATGCATCCATGCAATTTTACATGTAGGTTACATCAAACAGTAATATTTCCCAATGAGAGGTGTTACAACATTTTGGACGGGTTACCTAGTATTGAAAATTTACTGGAATACATTTTTTTTAATTTGTGGTATGTTCTATAATGTAATCCCTGTCCTAAAGGGTTAGAGATGAGTCTGTATGGGACATTAATATGATGGAGAATATCACTTAATGGATGAGCTAAATGTTCTTGTGGGAACATGTTTTCAAGTTGGTTTTGATGAATAATAAGCCAAGGAGAGAAAAAATCATGTTGACCAGGAAGCCAGCTGTACAAATGAAACTGAGAACTGTACATATCATGTACTTTGCACAGTTTGGAAAAACAACTGTAAGAATCTCTTGAGCTGCTACAAAATTTCAAGTTATAAAGATTACAATATTCCTGGTGCAGCACCTCATCTTTGTACAGCTGTATGTTATGTATTTCTTGTTTTCTATGTTTTCACCAGTGTTGCGCCAACTTTGTTCAAAATTGTAGGGACCGCCCTTCTTCAGAGCTGGTCACATGACATGCGGGACTGTTGTGTTACAAGCCGTTTGGTGTTTAAGGTAGCGGTTAGTCACTCCAGTTCGTGTCAATTTTACGAACGGGGAAAGACAGTCTTTCTTTCCCGGCAATTAACGAAAAGCAGCAGTTGCAGAGCTGCCTTGTAACAGATTTGCCTAGCAGTGCTAGTGCATTCAGTGGAGAACATAACAAAGATGTATAGACTTGATTCGAGTTGAGCTCGATTCTGAACTAGATGTGGTTGTTTATGCCATGGATTGCTGAAAAGTTTCACAACCTTGATAAATCTGTTAAATATTCCCGTAGAGAGCCAAGCAATATCAAAGAGTCATGGATTGAAACTTATATCAGTACTTGTGCAAGGAGATTACATGGTACAGTAATAACAAGACTGGTGCAAGTGAGAAGAGTTTAAAGGATGAGATTCAAAGATAAATTACGCACAGCCTTGTACATGTACATTGACTTGTGGTGGACCACCTTTTAATATCTCTCCCTAGGTTACTGAGTGAAGCTTTATGCTGGCAAAGATGGAAAATGCTATTATTTTAATGACGTAAAACAAAACTTAAAGCTTAACTTACCATTTTAAGGCTAATTCACTGGTGGTGTGTAGTTTTATTAATTATTATTTCTTGAGAGCTCTTTTTAATGGTATGCATTTATATTTTTTTCAGGAGAAAAGACGGACAAGGCAGACAAAGATGCAGATGATGATGATGTAGAGATAAATGCTGATTCCAGGTAATGGTTTTCAAGGCAATATTATTTGTTGCTTGAACTACCTACCTTAAGTACTCTAGCAAGGGTTTCCTTGCCCTGGGAGCAACATTAGCGTATAGGAATATATTACTTTTCAAACTGACCACTGGAATGACTATCTTATATCACCACCAGGAGTTTGAGTGGCAGTTTGATTGACAAGCAGGTGAAAGTCGGTGTCTGCTAGATGCAGGCGGCTCTGAGGAACACATCTGAGAATACAACATTTCATTTTTTCCTTCAGTAGAGTTGAACACGGGGAAGAGGAGACCCAGCTTGACGACTCATTAGTCGTCTTGGACAAATGTAAGTGGAAGAGACAGCGAGTACATACAATATGTACTGTCCGTATTCTTGTAGGAATAAGGTTGCGAAGGAGCACTCAGAAAAAATGACAGTCGATTGCTTATTTAAACGCCTACTGTGATGTGTGTGTCCTGTTAGATCAGGAATGCTATCTAGAACAATATTCCTTTCTCATTCTGGTGCTTGAATTTACTTCCAGACAACTGTGACCTCCATCTGAAAGTTGCCCCAGATGGTCTGAGTGGAAAGTTGTTGCCTGATGAAGGATTCTCATATCTTCTTGCTGGTGCTAGAGCTACCTGGGGTGCCACAAAAGGAAAAATCTGCTTTGAATGCAAGGTAGGCATAATGTTACAATCTGGAAATAGAAAATTGTAGGTAGTGGTTTGGATTTGCCATCATTGTTTGAATTTGTTTTTTTGGTACAAAGGGTAATCAGTTGCAGTGGGATCTTGAAGAGAGAATAAAAGAAGTAATAATCATTGTAAACTAATGTGGCCAACTTTTATTTCTTCACCCATTGCATTGTTTGGTCTAGAGCATGGCTACTTTGTACCATCTGATGATTTTTATACAAGAACTATTCAACCAGAAGTTAAATTATTATTTTAATTTGTTTTGCTTGGGGTATGAATGTTTGCCCTGCGGTTAAATTTTTTCTTTGGTTCAATTCTCACTGTGTATGACTGGTAACAGATGATGGTCCATGTACCTGGAAGCTCAGTGAAACCTCCATATGCACTCACCTTTCATAAACACCAAAATTTTCCACTCAAACCTTTATAGTACTGTTGTTGGTACTTCATGTTAAAGGTCACATCTCCTAATTAAGTGAATGCGATCACGCTTTGGTCAGGTAACTTTAAAATTGTACGCAGTAGACTCTCATCCAAAAAGTAGATCCATCCAGTCCTCTTCTCTGTCGAGACCTTCTGTAGTTTATGTCTCATAACGTTCACATTTTTGTTGTCGCATGCTGGAGTTTTGACTTATAAAACAAGGATTCAGTGAGAACTATGTTTAAGTATGTACATGGAAGGTTATGAACTGAAATGAAATGGGTCTGAATTTTTTATTCTATAGAGAAATCAGTAATTTTTTTGGTCAAGGAATATGCAATCAAAAATGATTAAACTGTGCATTAATATATTAGTGACAGTCAAGGTAATGCATTGTTGGTCTCTTTGTTTCCAAACAAGGTGACATCATTTGATTCTGTGGACCTTCCGGAATCAGAGGAACCAAAGAATGTAGTGAGGGTTGGCTGGTCAACTGATTCTGCCAGCCTACAGCTTGGTACGTTTACAATCATTGTTAACCTATGTCATTTTGATTTGTTTTACAAACACCAGCAGCAGTGCATACAGCAAGGAATAGGTCCTCGCTTGCTCTTTTACCATGATTACTTCACTGATGAACTTGTTAGAAATGAACTACATATGCTCCACACAATGTTTCTACTAACTGATTCTTGTAAGATAATTTGAACCTTGTTACTCTTTTGCTACCCTTTCTCTTCTTCAGGGGAAATCAAGAATTCTTACGGTTTTGATTCATCTGGAAAGAAAGCTCTAGATTCAGAGTTTTCAGAATATGGACAGTCATTTGGTGTTGATGATGTTGTTGGGTGTTACTTGGTAAGTGCTTGAACAGTAATAAAGTCCCACTCATGCTCAAGGTCTTGGAATCAAACAGTAAACAACAATTTATTAGGAAATGTTAAAATGTAAGTGGTGTGGTGTTAAAATACCAATCAATAATTCCAAGGCTTCAAATAATTTTCTTTTTTGGAAGGACTATGTTGTATAATTATGTTGTGGTTCAATTTTATCCTTGATTTAAGTTTTCTTTTCTTTTGTTTTTGGGTATGGTAGTGTATGATAATGAGTTTGAAACAAAATAAAATAATATTTAAACTAATGGTAAAATTGAACCACAACATATAATATAATAAAGTTATTCTTGGCCAATCACGAAGGACCCCTTTTACTGGTAGACAGAAGAAGATTGTTTTAAATATTACTTAACTTTTTTGTCAATGTCTTTTTCAAATTAATGTCCTCGCTCTTTAGCATACATTTACCCTTTTTTGAATGGGACGGCATCTCAAGAAACCTCAAGCTACATGTACTCTACTAAGCTATCAAGTGCATTCCACTCAAAATAATGCCATTCATTAATTTCACCAATTGATTTAACTGAGGCCCTGTTGAGGAAAATTTTGACGAAGCGACATGGCCTTGAAACAGGGACATAAGGCAGTAGAAAGGGCAACAAAAGAGACAAAGATGGGTTGAAACCACGACAGCAACAGAGAAAAGTGCAAGTGAAATACCGAAAGCAACATGGCTTCCTCCTCAATACGCAAAATGAAAGGTTTTGAAATTCAGACTCTAGAGGGACATACTTAACCCCCCTAAGAAGCCTCTTAACTGATAAATAACATTTTTTGTCCAGGATTTGGAGAGTGATCCAAAGACTGTTTCGTTCAGCAAGAATGGTGAAGACCTTGGGGCAGCATTTGAACTAACAGAAGATTTGGAAGGAAAAGCACTTTATCCTCATGTGCTTGTAAAAAATGCTGAGTTCAGTGTCAATTTTGGATCTCAGGTAATCATATAGAGTACATTATGTCTCAGTCTTTTTAAAAAACAAAAAATAAAAAAATGCGTTTATAGACTTCCATACTCCATTAATACATGGTACAATACCATGACTACTCTTAATCACGTTAAAAGCTACAATATATTATTTCCAACAATACATGTAATGCGCCAATGATAAAATTAAAAATCAAATGCGTCCTTACAAAGATAAGTCTTTGACCACTTTTTTTAAATTTTTTCTAAGGAAGAGCCATGGTGTCCTCCAAAGGAAGGCTATACTTTTATCCAGTCTGTTGGTGAAGAGTCATTGATCCATGGCACAAGAGGACCAGCAACTAAAAAGGAATGTGAGGTTAGAGGCTGTTTTCTCAGAAACTGGAAACTGGAAGTTGTAGCCAAGAGGCCTTTCTCTACATTCAGTTTTTTGTTTGTCTCTTGGAGTTCAGACAGGGTGCAAAGAAAATCATTTTTACAGCTTGCCATTCGGGCAAGCTGAAGCTAGCATTTACTAGCCCAGACATCATTTCAAGTAGCCCCAAAAGCTTTTTGACTCACAAAATTGATTTCACAGTTCTTCTGTTACTTGAATTCCTCAAAAAACATCACTTGCCCATCAGGCAAGTTTAGAACAGAATTCACTATCAAGGTAGCAAAATTTACTAGCCCCAGGCTATTGGACACTACTTTCTTTGCACGCTGTCAGTTATTCTGTTATTGCAGTTTTGAGGCCTGTAAAGAAAAACAATAATAATTATTGTATTCATTTTTTTGTTACTTCTCTGCTTACAAAAAAAAAAATTCAGGTAATTATGATGGTTGGATTACCTGGTTCAGGAAAGACAACATGGGTCAACAAGCAAGTGAGTGATAATCCAGACAAGAAGTACAATGTCCTTGGTACCAACTCAATCCTGGAAAAGATGAAGGTACTGTATGTTGGGAGAAAAAATTTGAAACTGTTATCATAAGAATGGGCTTTCTTCTCATTGCTTCCCTGTGTTCTAAAACAACTGTTTTGGGCTTTTTCAGAACAATTGACTGAATTCTTAGAGAATAAAGTGGTTCATTATTGATATTTGCTAATGAAATAGAACATTCAGAAAAAATTTCCAATCAATGTTACTCTGAACAAAAGATTAATCGTAGGAAAAAGGAAATTGTTCAGATTTTTAGAAGGTTTGACAATTACTTTGAAGATTAAATAACAGTGTTTGATTGGCAAAGGAAAGTCAGTTTGGTTCCAATTATGAGGAGCATTATGAAACCAAGACTTTGATAAATGTAAATCAAGATTCTTCCGTAATTATATTGTATTTACCACCTATGTTTTTAGATCCTGGGAGTGGCTAGGAAGAGAGATGTAGGTGGATATAGTAAGCTGATGGACAAGGCTGCAAAATGCTTACACCGATTATTTGAACTTGCTCCCACAAAGAAGAGAAACTACATTCTGGACCAGGTAAATTTCACTGTGTATTCCTCATTTATTTTGTCAGTAGCTTATAAAGTGTATCAAGTATATAATAACTCGAAGACTCACCTTGCTTAGAATAATGCTACAGCTGTCATTAGGGGCTGAGGGCTGGGGATTTCCTCTGGCTACTATGAAGTTGGCCCGAGCTACTTTCATTAAGAAGATGAAACAAAGATAGAACCAAAGGAAATACCTACCTTATCCTGGAAATGCCAAACCTTCTTGTTGTATTTACCCAGAGACTTAAATTCTTAGTGGCAGCCCTGGGTGCAATTTTTTAAGTATAACATTTTGATACAAGTCTTAAAACACAATAAATTTGCCTTGTACTCTCTACAATGTATTTTTCATTAACACGCAGCCATGTACGGTAGTATAGCATCTCTGAAAACGTCATTTTCCTCAAAATGACAACTTTTTATTCCTTTTTGATGGTGATTAACTGTTTTTCTAAACCTTAAAAGTGATGACATAAAAATGTTGGAATTAAATATTGAAGCTGTTGTATTAATTAAGGACAGACCCTCAGAAAAATTAAGAGGGGGGGGGGGGGGGGGGGGCAAAAAAAATGTTTTGGGGCAAAAAAAAAAAAAAATAAAAAAAGAGGGAAATTAGGAAGAAGAAAATATAAAAAAAAAAAATATATTAAACTAAGCCTATATTTGTTGGAAATGAGTTTTATTTAACTGATTTTTTCTCTATAAAAATAATTTTTTTTTTTTTTTTTTTTTGTTTATTTTTTTTTTTTTAAAATAAAAAAAAAAAAAAAAAAAAATTAGATAAAAAAATAAAAAGGTTTTTTTAAAAAAAAAGAAAAACAAAAAAAAAAAAGGGGGGGGGGGGGGGGGGGGGGCAGGCAAAGTACATGTTTATGGCTACCAAAAAAATAATATTAATGCAAGGGAAAATTGGAATAAGGAAAATGTTAACAAAAAATATTTATGCTGGTCGAAATACCCCCACCCCAGCCATAACTTTTCTAATGTTCCAAGTTACCCCATCACAAAACGAAATTTTAAAAAACAATGGCTTGTTAATGAGCTTGGACCCAGGGAAGGGATGTCACTAAGATTTCAAGTTGCTGGGTAAATAAAACAAGTAGGCGGGGAATAAAACAGCTAGCAATTTCTTTTAGTGCTATGTTTCTTCTATTTTCCTATGAAAGTATCCGGGGCCACATTCATAGTAACAGGCTTACCAATTCTATTGTTATAAAGAGGTAATTAGTTTTTGATAACCCTTTTAAACTATTTGAATGTTTGTTTTAGACCAATGTGTACCTCTCTGCTCAAAAAAAGAAGATTCGACCCTTTGAAGGATTCAGCAGAAAAGCAATTGTATGCATTCCCACTCAAGAGGAGCTTAGAAAAAGAACAGAGGATAGAAAGAAAGAAGGCATTGAACTGCCTGAAAATGCTGTCAGTGACATGAAAAGTATGATGTTTCTCACTTTGTTTTGGGCATGTTAAACGTGTAGTAATTCCCAATGCTTATAAAAAACATATATTAAATTACATATTTAACTAGAAGAAGTAGCAGGTTAGAGCAGTGTATCAATATTATGTTGTAATGAATGGAGATATTGTCTTGGTTAATTACCCATCGTGTGATTTACAAACCTTTAATTTAGTAGTTTGAATTTCATTTATGCATGTTTTTTTTATTATTATTTTCTAAATTTTACTTTCTTATTTATTGTAATCATAGCACATGTTTGACTTTAAACCTTTTTATTCCAGTGAGTTTCACCCTTCCCAAAGTTGGAGAATTCTTTGATGAAGTTGTCTATGCTGACCAGCCTGAGAGCAAAGCTAAAACCGTTGTTGATGAATACATCAAAGAAGGTCGCAGCTACAGAAGTCGCTCAGGTTCAGGCTCTGAACCTCCTTTCAAACGGTCAAGATTTGAAGACAGGTCTCCACGCCATGGAGGTTACTCCAGGGACAGAAGTTATGGTGATCATGGTGGATACAGACGAGGTGGAGGAGGCGGCGGTGGTGGGTCCTACCAACGGTTTGGTGGTGGCCGTCCATATCATGGAGGAGGAGGAGGTGGCTACCGTGGTGGTCGTGGAGGAGGATATCATGATCGACGAGATCATCGCGGTGGAGGAAGAGGTATAATACATGTAATTCTGCAATGAGTAGTATGGCCAATCTTGTTTTGGTCTATTTTTAAGCAAGGCGGAGCCTTCACTTTCTTCCTCTCAATTGTCCCTATAATCACGAAAAAAAAACTACTAAACAAAACATGCACTTAAACATAACAGAACTGCAGCAAGTGCTAAGTGAACATTTATATATATATATTTTTTCCTGGTAGCCATTTGGTTACTGTACATGTACATTAATTTTAGATTGCATTATAGGAAAAGATTGGTTTCTGCTTTTGTTAAGGTTTCCCTAGATCTCTTTCTGATAACTTTCAGCCTGGAAAAAATTATGGATTTTTGTATTGGAAAAAAAAAACAGAAGAAGACAGTCTTGAATTTTGTATCCAACATCTCTATGAAACCTGATTTTAGAACATGATAGAGAATAAGTGACCATTTTGGTATCATTTGCTGGAAAGGTAATTGGTTGGAAAAGTAAAGTAAAGTAAATGGAACACTACTTTTTGAGTTGTTCTAGTGAATAATAGTGCTGTTTTCCCAGTTGGAATGTTCCAAATTTGAAATTTGAAATCATTTTGTTTTCCGTTAATTTTTTCAAACCTATCCTTGACACCAAGCTTGCGCAAGAAAAATTAACCAGTCCTAATTTTTGTTTATCATTATTTTACCAAACAATGTACTGACCATTGCAGTTTGCCCATGTAAATTTGCAAAAGTGACTGGAGTGTTAAATAGAGAATTTGTGGTAATTGGTATCAACACAAATTTTTTTTTTTCCTTAGGGGGTTATGGTGGTGGAGGCTATGGTGGCAGTGGCGGTTATCGTCAGCATCAATCTTCGTACCGTCAAAATCAGTCATATCAACAGCACAAGCCACGTAACCAACAGAACTACAACCAGCACAGCTACAATCAGCACCAACAAACAGGATTTCAGTCAAATTACAACCAACAGCAGCAACAGCAACAGTATGGTACTGGGGCATACAACCAATACTACAGCTACAACCAGGGATACCAGGCAGCCACAGGTTACCAACAAACAGGCTATCAACAACAAGCATATGGCCAAACAGCACAGCAGGGTCAACAACAGCCTCAATACCAGAATTACCAAAGCTACTACGCTGGATATCAACAGCCACAGCAACAAACAGGATTTGGTGGTTATGGGGGCACTGGGTATTAAAAGATTGCACAGAGTTTGTACTTAGGAAAATCAGCACAACTTTGCTGTTGATCGTCTTGTTTTAATTTTTAGGTTGTATGGGGAGTTGTGAAGCGGGGGTATACAGTAGTTATATCAGTGGCCTACTTGTCAAACTTTCTGAGCATTGTTGGTCAGATCTGTTAGTTCAAATTAAGACTCCCTCTTACAGTTCAATTCAGCAGGCTGTTATAGTAGTAAAATTTTGCTTTCCAAAATCCCGAGTAAACTGTAGCCCGTGCATTTTTATAGTGGCTTGCTGTATTTTTTTGTGCTAATCATCCTTTGAACAACTTAGTCTTGATTAGAAGTTTGTATAGGTACATTTTCATGTTGTCTGTAGTTGTTTCCGTATGCCTGGCATGTTGGGAACAGGTTAATTTTAGTAAGAAAGATAAACTTTGTTTTATTATTTTTCGGAAATGAATTTTAGGGATGTACAGGACTAAGCATTAAAAGCTGCTTTTCTTGGCAGCAATAAAAAAGGAGAAATATTATTGTGAGCTTGCATGTAAATTGTGCCTCTTATATTTTTCCTTCCTACTACACAGTGTTATCATTTGTTTGTTTTCTTTTTTATATTCGTGAATTACCTTTCTTGCTCATTGTTTCATAATTCACAAGGAAAATCAGTACAGTTCATCTCCTTGTGGTCGGTGTAGATTTTTTCCTAATCTTTTAATAACAGTCGTACTTACCTATCGGAAGAAAAGAAACTGAAAAACACAAGGATGCGAGCTCCTTGTTTTTTTACCTTCTTTGCAGTGCTTGCTTTCCTTCAGCCAACTGTAAAAGGTGCATTATAATTTGAACTGGAGTTTATTTTGTTTTGATTATTGTTTTTAGACTTCATAAACTTAAACACTATGCATAGTCTGACTCTTGTTTATCATTGATTTATGTATTTGAACCTTATTGTGAGATTAATTTTACTTAGAAATTCACTCTCTTTTGAAGACTGTCATTAAACAGCTTTTAAATTATTTGTGGTTATTGTGTGGACGTCGATAGTTTATAACCTTTAAGAGGTAATTTCACAGTCAAACCTTGCGACTATTCTCGTAAGCGATCAGTAGTATAACGACCACCATTAGAAATAACTTGTCTATGGACTCTGACAGGGTTCTTACAGAGTCTTGTCTTGACTATTGCCAAGCAATTATCCAGACCTGAAACCAGTCTGGAAAATAGAGGTTAAGGTGATTCCTTAGTAAAAGAACGTGACATAGATTGTAGATGAAACCTTGGTACACTGATGTAACAAGTCAAGATGATGATAATAAGTAATGAAAAGTGGGGGTCGCCGTTCTTGTTTTGACGTCACAATGTTGACAAATAGGGCTATTTGGGACCCTTTGGCAAAAACCGCGCGCAGCCCAAAACTAGACAAAAAGGAGAGATTTTTTCGATGATGCATGTAGTATCGCGCAGAATTTGACTTTACTGTTTTGTTTATCCACTTACGTACCAGGAAAATGCCTTTAATGGCCTTGTTTTTACTTTACGCTCCAAAGTAGAATTAAATTGGACACGCGCAATTCGACCCGTGATAGCTCAATTCGTACAATTTAGTACAATTGCCCAAAAACTGAACATAGATTTGTGCCATTTTTTTTCCCATCGAAAGGAAGCACTGTCCTTGTTAAAATCATGAAATAAAGAATGGGGGTCACCGCACTCGGTTTTGCGGCAGAGCTGCAGGAAGCGCGCACCAAATGCATTTTCTCTGAGTTTTGAGAGAGGACTGGGGCGAGTTTCAAAATATAATGTATCACGAGATATCACATTTAGGACACAATGTGATAAAGGAAGCGTTTAAATGAAAATCAAAGTGAGTAAGCACAAGTTAAACATCCACTACCGAGGCTCTCCGTGAGGAAGTCGAACTCAGCAACGCGCGTACTGCTTACGTTATGCACATTCCCAACACATTGAGTCTCACCTCGGCAAGAAACAACCGCAAGCAAAAATTCCAATAGCGTTTCTCTTCAGTCAACGTCATTTTAATAATGTTACTTCACATGCTCTTTTTTACGGCGGACATATTGTTATGCGCAGTAAGCGATGGGCAGTGCAAAACCAGGGAATCACCTTAAGTCTGGAAAAATGGTAAAAAGCGTTGGGTTTTTTTTTTCAAATCTACAGCTGCTTCACAAGTTAATTTTTTTCGTTTTGGTCAAATCGTATTCAATCTTGCCCGTACATTTGCAGCGCACCATAAGGAAGCTACGTTCCTAGGTCTTTTAAGGTCGCTATTGATCAACTATTTGATAACCTTGAATCTGGAAAAAAGAACTTAAGTATTGTTTTGGAAAAAAGTCTGGAATTTTGGATTCAAAGATCTGTACGAACCCTTCTCTGATGTGGGAATAATAATGCCTTGTACCCAATAATCTGCCGCTTGTTTTCACTGTCACCTCATCATAAAAAACAAAACTCTAAAATCAAAACTTTTAAATTAAAGCCAAAATTCAGGTCTGATCGCTGTTTCAAACTTTTTTAGCCCGGCCTTTCACTGCCCTCTTAATTAATGATGCTTTGTAAGGTGGTACTTACCTTTGAATCTTGATGGAATCCCATGGTGTTCACACAAATGAAAGCGTTTTGAGGGAACTTTTAGCTTGAGAAAACAACCGACATTTCGCGACGTTACCACTGCTTTAAGGTGATGTTACACGAGACATTCGCAACGACGATTTTTAGCACAGCACAACGCGTCACAACATTGTTCCAACATTGTAACGCTGTATGTGTTGCGATAACAATCGTCGTTGTGTAACATCACCCTAACGAACAGAGAAATTCCATACTGATGACGTGTCACAACCAAGATTGCACAGCAAATTTATTTTGTTAGGATGCTTTATTGTCGTGTCAGCAGTGCCATTTCAGCTGAACATTGAACATCTTTACTGTCAATCAAAAGCTAAGAGAAAAAGAAAAACTGGGATTTCCTAAATACGGTCGAACTAAGAAAACACTTTTGTGACATCATGACATGTCACGTGATAGTTTTATAATTTTTATTTCGTAGATAATCGCTTTTGTGCAAAAACCAAAAATCTAAAATTTTTGGTAACTATGGAAGGCTTAGGTTACCGGAAAGTCAGCTTGTAATCATTATCGTTAAAAAAAAATTAAAAAAAAAATTAAAACACTGATTGGGATCTTTTTTTTTCTCATTAAAAAAGTAAATTTCCGGGGACAATGGTACATGTGTCATAGCGAGCTGACGGTTTTTGCGTTTTACTCGACCTCTTATGAAGCTCTTTCAGATGAGTTTAGATCGAGTTTAAAATGTTTTAAAATTTCATTAAACGCAGACATTACCCTTTCTGACGTCATAATTTGACTTTCGGGAGCTTAAACAGAGGACGACGACGACGACTTTGAAAACTTCCCCAAGAAATTTGCTTTCAAACTTAATCGCGTCTATTTGACTTTATCCAGGTTAAAAAAGATGAAGGAAAATTCGTCGTCGTATGTTGAGTCTATGTTGACGTCGAATTTGGAGGTTTCACGTTGTAGTATGTACTAAAAAGCGTTTGCTCACAAAACCAATTATTTTTTCCACGTTGTCCTCGTCGTGGTGGTTGCAAAATCTTAACCCTCGGACGCACACCCAAAGTCATACCCCCCACCGTGGTACAAGTGGGGAACTCCCCCCCCCCCCCCCCCCCCGCTGGAACCCCCCCCCCCCCCCCCCCCCCCCCCTTGAGGTTTTGATATGTTCCAGTATTTCAAAACGATTTTGCCTTCGGTGGAAAGCCTTTGATCTTCTCTACAAGATGAGGTATATTTTATGGGTGCTGGCGCTGCTGGGGGCCTGTGACGTCACCAACAATAGTCGCCATCTTGGATTTTATCAAAAAACTTAGAAATCAAGTTAAAAAGTGACAATTAATAATTTTTTGCACTTAACAAAAATTATGTATTGGTTCAATTTTACCTGTTACCTTCCCTCCGGGAAGTTTTTTTAAAGCTGTCCTCCCAGGTGTAGGGGGTGGGGCAAATCAAGGGTAACTCCTCTTTGATTTTGCGAAATCCGTGTTATTTCTGGCGCAGTATGCACGTTGCAGAACTCAAGACCACAAGTTTTCAAGGGAAAACGTAAGGATTTTATATTTGCCAGGGAGTGGTTGGAGAGGAATAGCCTATCAAAATTAAAGTCTGTATTTGAAGGTATGTGCGTATGATACGTACTCTAATGGATTTTATACATGTAAAATGTAGTCAAAACATGAACAATGCATGAACAATGCAAAACGGAGGAAAAACTCTTAAGCGCCTCTTTGATACTTATAGAACATTGCATTGAATCTGTGTTTATCTTTTTCGCAATTAACTCTAGCAAACGTCAAAAAAAGTTCTTAAAACAGCTCGTTTTGCTATTGTACGGAAATCAATGTCGCTCTCAAAAAGATGCTGTACCAAAACAGCGTATTTGAGGTCGATCAGGAGCTCCGGGGTGGGGAATAGACCACCAGGGGCCCGTAACTTTTTGGGCCCAGAAAGCTGTTTTAGGTTTCCCGGGCTTGCATTCAAGATCAAAGTTTTAATGATTTTGAAAATGATAAAATGAAACTATCAGTTAACAACGAAAATTAACTTGTTTGCGATCTTGGAATTGTGCTACTATTCAACAGGTTTCGATATTAAAATTTGCCTTTGCGCCCCAAAAGTTATCGGGATTTTCGAGAAACGGGTCCCTGGCTAGAAAAATACTCCATTTTGTTTCATTAACTGACAGTTCTATCTTGCATGTAAACAACAGCTTTACGGGCCCGTTACTAAACGGGACTTTCGAGAAACGAGCCTCAGGAATTCAAAGAAAAAAATATCGCAAATGCGGATCCCCTAAGGTATGCAAATGCCCGGGAGGCATGGTAACAGGTCAAATAAGATCGCCAACTGGGACAATTTGCAGCAAGAATACCGCAGCTGAAACGACAACAAAAATTAGCTGGGCATACTGTAGGTTT